GAGCGATCAAATAAAAATCACCTTCATTTGTACAAACTGTACAAACCACCATCATACGTCGATTTCATTATTTAATTAATCTTATAAAATATTTCATGAAATTGTTTAATCTTGTGAAATTGTTTCATATAATATTTTTTTGATGAATTTGTTTCATATATGGTTATGAAATTGTTTCATATCATATTTAATGAAAATGTTTCATGTATTTCTCTAAAATTAAAATAATAAAGATGATCCCATGATTTTTACTCTTATGTTGAGATGGTTTTACGTAAGATCCGTGTTACTTTTATGCTTTATTATTGCTTTTTTTATGTGTGGGGGGTGGGTTTGTGTGTTGGAACTTTGAATAATATTGTATTTAGTATACTCTATTTGTTTGCACATCTCTCCAGAGGCAAAGAGAAAAAAAAATCACGAAGCGACAGCTTTAAAATAATTAATCTATTTGTTTGCACATCTCACGGGTCAAATCCACAGGGACTTGGATTAACTTACTATGTCTAGAAAATCAAATACAAAGCGACAGCTTTAAAATAATTACAAGGGGGGGGGGGGTTTGAATTTGATTAATTAGACTAAACATGCGAATAAAATTTATTACAGACGATTGAAATAAAAACAAACTCGACTTTGGATTATAAATGCAACTCTATTCACAAGTTGTTAACATTGATGATGTATAAGGCGACGGCACATACTTCGATTAACGCGGTTCTAATTGTCAAGGAGCTCTAACAATTAATTTCAACATACATAACTTTTGAGAGGAACAAGCTCTCCTCTCATACCTTAATATGAAATTGACCTCAAATAAGCTCTTAAGAGCCAAATTGATACTAGCATGAAGAATCAATGGAACCAGGGTCGGATAAATTAACACACGAGCTTGGTTAATCTAAATCTTCCGTTTCACCCAATTTCATAACAAAAGATAGGAATTTTCTACAAAACCTATTTGTTATTTGTCATCAATATTAGTTTACTAAACAATTACGGATTTAGGAAACCAAAATAACCATGATCGATTTCCACACAATTGATCAGAAAGCATGAAATTCAATTTTATAAGCTATTAAGTTCAGAAATTAGGTGAATAATCAAAGTGAGATGGTAGTACATCATCTCAAACAACTGGTAAAATAGAACTTGCAAATACTAAGCAATCCAAAGTCGAATTTATAAAGAAATTAGCCACACATGGCTAACTGAAAACACAAACTAAGAAATTGACAAGAGATATTAACCTAATTTTGAAATTGATGAATCTCCTTCAATGCTTCTCTAATCCAAAACCACGAACTGTTGCTCTCTTCTCCAATCGATCGCACCTCTTGCTGTCGTCTTCCCTTACGAACCAGAAAACTGCCTACATCTCCCTCCTCGATCGCACGTCTTCCCTCGATGAAAAACTGCCTCTGCTGTTGCTGGAGTTTTTTTGTTGGGTTTTTTTTTTTTGCTGTTGGGCCTCTTCTGTTAGGCTTCTTTTAAGCAACATTTGAGAAAATATGATTCATTTTGACGCCATTTAAATTCGTATGCCTAGTCCAGAACCCATTTCATAAGTATTCTCAGTCTCATATTCCTTCAGAAAACTATGCCCGACCTTGTAACAGTTTCAAAATATATGTTTTGTTTGTATTAAAATCCATCCTTTTTGCACCTATCAAAGACCAATCAATAACTAAGGGGTTCTATAAGCTATATAAACATTACAATACGTAGATTCATTATAAAAACATGTTTAAATATAAACTTATCATGATTGTTTCGGATAAGTGTTGTATCGAATGAAAGGTTTGATTGATATAACAGATATATCGTAAGTCCTGACTAGATACTGTTATTTACCAAAATGTTTTGTATCAAGTGTTGACTGAGTTAAAATTATCGTTTTACCCTTTAGTCCGAGATAAGTATTGACCAGAAATTATTGTTTAAAAAATATTTGCATATATTTTCGAACTTATCAAAATGAAAGGTTTAGTTTTTTTGAAGAAACCCAAGTACAAATCGAACCAGGCTCAAGAGATCTCATACTTTTCTCGGAGTTCACTAAAGCAACCGACACTGCTGATAGGCGGGTTTACACCCCCTTAAATGTAACTACAAGTGTACAGTGTCAAATCAAGTATACGTACGGTAAGTACAGATATTGAACCAAGGAACTAGCAGGCACGAGTAACACAATGACTATAATTACTATTAGTTGGATGATTTAAATTGGATGGATTGATTTAAATAAAGTAAATCTTGAACAGTTTCCGAAAACAGAAAGTAGGAAACTTTATCAAGAGAAAAGCAGTTGGGAGTTGGAATCCTAATGGTTTTCACATAGAACACTTCGATTGTAATAATTATCAGGTAATTTCACTACAACAAAATTGGGTTTATAGGACACCCCTAATCTCTAAGTGTCCCAATAGACCGCTTTATAGGACTTAATTTATAGAATCAAAATATAAAATGTCATATCTAAAGGTGTTGTAATAAGTTTATACGACGCTTTTGGGCGTCTTAACAAATTTTTAAGGACATTTTTAATACAAAGTATTGCATTAGCAACTTTATATGACACTTTTGAGAAATTGTCCTATAAACTCAATTTTTTATAGGACACTTGTTTTTATAGGACATTTTTTCAAATAATGTCCTATAAAGTTGATAATGAGATGCTTTATATTTTGAAAGTGTCCTAAAAAACTTATTACGACATCAAAAAACGTCACATAAACTTAATACAACACCATTTTCTCTCTCTTTCTCCCTATATATATATATATATATATATATATGTATTAAAATTTTACTAATTAGATTTTATTAACTTTTTCGAATTATTTGAATACTACTTGTTGATGATTCTGTTAACAACTAACATGTATTTATATAGATAATTTTCGGATCATTAAGCAAAGTACTCATGCTACCGTGCAACGCATGATTCCCACACTAGTTAAAGATAAAAGAATGTACCGTAAATCTTATGGTTTGTTATAGAAAAAAATAATAATGATACATATTATTGACGATTTAGGTGTTGTTTGGTTTTGAAGAGGTATTAAAGTTTGAAGTCTTATTTCACTTAATAATGATATAAGAGATGGTATTAAAGTCTGAAAGCAGAACTAATAAAATTGTTTGCTTCTGTAAATTGTTAAACATTTGAATGTCTGTAATTACGTATTTTACTCTGCAAAATATTATAATGTCGGATTTATGAAACTAGAAATTTATAGTAGCTAAAATATACCATCCTCTATTTTTAACACATTCAAAAATCCAATTAACATTCATCAATCAATCTAAACGAAATAGGGATGAGAACATCACCCGAAAAGAAAGCATCGTGAACAAATAGCGGAAACTTCTATGTTGATATCCAGGCAACCGTACCAGATATTGTCTGTTTTGTCCACACTTGAACTTACGATTTTAAAACGCATTTGATAGAGATATACAATCCATTAAAAGGTAACCTTTATTCACCTCCCCAACTGATGTGAGATCTTATTATCCACCCACCTTGGGAGTCTAGTACCATCGGTGATAGCAGTCCAGAACCCGACTCTGATACCATTTGTAGCATTTTGGACAATCATATTAGATATTATTCGTTTTATCTACACCTGAACTCACGATTTTAAAACATATCTAATAGATGAAATATCCTGTCTTTTAGGAGACAACCTTAGTTTGGGATTTTACACTTAGGGGCCGTTTACCTAAACACGTACCCGGTAAGCACTTACTGGTAAAATTCAACACTATCGCTTACTTACCCCGTAAGATTTTATTCACTAAAATACATCGTATGCAACAATTTATCCTGGTAAGCGCTAACCATGGTAAGAGTCTTCGTTCTCACTTACCGGTAAGACTCTCGATTCTTGCATTCGCTCTTACCCGGTAAGATTTTTAGTCCTTGTCATATTCATCCGATAAAGTAAAATAACTTATTAAGCGTTTACCCGGGTAAGCGTTTGGTAAACGGCACCTTAGTGTTTGCTCCAATTTTATACTAAAAGTTGGCTCAGCTTTTTACAACCCTAACATAAATTAGGGATTTGAATGTATTTATGATACTCTTGGAGGGTTTGTATGCAAGTTTCAATAGTGGACATGGATGACGCATGATCTGCGTCGAAGCCAATGCTTATTGGAATCACTCTCGCTTTCTCTGTCCGCCATTGTTGTTGCTTGAGCTTTTCTCCCAATGGTTCTACTGAATGCGGCAGTCGCAATACTTTTCACAACACTCATCACGTTCTCTGCTGCCGCCGCCTCTTTTGTCGCCGACGATGCTTACCCATCTCCACATATCGCCTCCATGACATCCTGCGACCTCGACGATCTCTCCCCTATCCGCAGGGAAGAGTACGACGAGGGTCGTATCATCGACATAACTCACCGTTACCGATCTGACATGCCTTCATGGGAATCGGACGACGGCCTTGGACAGTTCCTCTGGCTACCGGGCAGTATGAAGAACGGATCACTCGCCAACAATTCCGAGATGAAACTGCCGGCTCACACTGGGACCCACGTGGATGCTCCAGGACACGTGTATGACCACTATTTTGATGCGGGTTTCGACGTTGACACGCTTGACCTTCATGTCCTCAATGGTGAGTTAACGCTTGCAGTACACAAGAATCAAGATGGTTGATGAGTTTAACCTGTTCGATAAAATGCCTTTATGAAACTTCGATCCTTTGTTGGTTGTTTTTCCAACTTCATTAACAACATGAAGTCTTAGCCTTACGAGAAGTACTAGCTGTCCTTTTTTAGGTCGACAGCAAAAAGAATTTTCTGATTGACGACAAATTCTGTTTTAGGGTTTACATTCAAAAGGGTAATTGGTCTGACGGATGATAGAAAGTAATGTTCTTTCGGGACATATGTAGTAATTTACCTGTCAAGACCAAGAAAACAATATTTATATCAATTAAAAGGCTTCCCACTCCACTGATGATCATGTTTTGACTTCAGATCACCAACATTAATTGTCTACTTCACTTTCGCATGGAGCAAATTATTTGAACTTCTTTCAAATGCATATTTCTTGAATTTGAGCAGTTCATTTGATGCCCTCTTTCATTATATTTCTCCTTTCCTCTTTTAGAACAGGGTGAGTTTCTAGTGTGTTCTGTCTCTGTGTCTTCCCTCAAAAACAGTACATTTTTATTTAATTTTGTTTGTCCCAAGATACGTGTTAGTATTAAAAATAGCTAACTAAATTCTTAAATCTATTCTTCATTAATACACAAATATTTAAGAGTTGTGAAAAGAAATAAATTAATTAAGTGTGAAATTTGTCATTAAAGTATAATAATTATATATGTCTAAAAGTTGGTGTCATTTCTACCATGGATAATAATTTTGGGATGAAGGGAGTATCACTTAACAACAACTAATTACTTAAATCATTGTTGTGATTTTCTCTTCTAGAACATCTTGTATGCTAAGAGGGATAAGGTTTTCCTTTTCTATAATCGTGGATGTCCAGCTAACTTATGAGCATCTAAAACAACCAAGAAACCCTCGGTGACCTTGAGTAGAACATATAATTGAACTTTTGACTAATGGGGAGCAAACCCTATGGGATAAGGTTGGAAATGTGCCAGGTGGTTGATCTAAGCTATTTCTTGGATTTTTGTGGCTTTCAGTGGGAATGCAAATTTAATGTGTCAAAGTCAGAGACGTTCAATCATATCCAACCGCCCACCTAGCTTGCCTCTGACATTTTCAAACTATTGTGATTAGAACCCCTTCTAAATATCCTTTAAAGATTTTTAGCTTTTTAGCAATCTCTCTAGCTTAGAGAACATGATGGCAAGAAAGATGAGCCCTCTATTGACATTTCTCATGCTTGTTTTACCTTCTATGGTGTTGTCATCACAAGATAGTGCCTACCCACCTTCATATGGTGCTGATAAAGATTCTTGTGGTGGTTCTTCTTGTAAGTTGATTCCTCCAAGGAGGGAAGTTTATGGAAACGGGAAAATATATGATATCACACATACGATTACTATGAAGAATCCCTCAGGACTTTCTAATGAAGCATTTGATCCATACCTTCAACTTTTTGCCAGCATGAAGAATGGATCAGATTATAACTTCTCGCTGATAAAGTTACCAGCTCATTCTGGCACTCATGTTGATGCACCAGGACATTTTTATGAAAATTACTATGAAGCAGGGTTCGATGTCGATAGTCTCGACTTAGAAGTACTAAATGGTATTAACCTAACCCAACAAGCGATATTTCATGTTGTTTTTGTTAAACTATTATTAATTATCCATGAAGATCATACGCTTAACCAAAACATGGTTTTGAATGTTTTTTTCTTATAGTAGTACGTTGTGTTACAAATCAAGATCTAGAGACCCACCTATAAGAAGACTAGTTATTAATTAGAACTTGAAGAAGTCGAACATATCATGTTTTTCTGTTGAACCAGTAGATGTATAGATAATGGAAGGTGGTCTAGATGTCAGTTTGTGAGCATGAGTAACTTGTAAAAAATTACCTGTTAGATGTAATTCATGTAGAGTCACTGTTGTGGCTATTGGAATTGTAATCATTAGCCTTATAGCTGTAATTTCCTCCTATCAAGCTTTTCACTTTTTGTTCTTGAGTGGAAGAGATTTATGTGTATGATATAGGACCTTTAAGGAGGATCGGAGTGCATATCTGTAATTTCATCCTGTTTGATAAGGTTGGCTGATTTATTTGAGCCACTATTGGGAATCTGTGACTTTTAGTGGGGAGACAAATTTGATGTGCTCATGGATGATGCAAACATGAAAGTGATGGGTTATATTTGAACCATAGCAGGTAGCTGCCGATCTATATGTATCTCATGCATGTTCGGTTTTTTAATGTGATATTAACCCCTTCTAAAGATCTTTTGAAGACTAGCAAACTGTCCAGCTTAGAGAACATGATGGCAAGAAAGATGAGCCCTCAATTGATACTTCTCATTCTTGTTTTACCTTGTATGGTTCGGTCATCACAAGATAGTGCCTACCCACCTCCATATGGGGTTGATAAGGATTCCTGTGGTGGTAGTGCTGGTTTGATTCCTCCAAGGAGGGAAGTTTATGGAAATGGGAGAATTTATGATATCACTCATAGGATTACTTCGGAAACACGCTCATGGGATTCTGATGAAGGGATTGGGTTGTACCTTACACTCTATGCCAGCATGAAGAATGGATCAGATTGTAACTTTTCACTGATAAAGTTACCTGCTCATTCTGGCACTCATGTTGATGCACCTGGACATGTGTTTGAAAATTACTATGAAGCAGGGTTTGATATCGATAGCCTTGACTTAGAAATACTCAATGGTATTAAACTGACCTGTATAAAGATAGATCTTACTGTCGGTTTTATCAAATTATTATTTATTATATGTGAAGTTTATACACTTGATCAGAACATGTTTTTGAGTTCTTTTCCTATAATAGGTGTGTTACAAATCAACAAGATATAGTGACCCACCTATAAGAACTGCAAGAGCTAGTAAGTTAAATATAAAAATCTATGGCACTGACACTAGTAGAGATATGGAAGGGCTTTTAACATAATGTGGTGAACAAAAAGTAGAAGAAATGCTTTTGTAGTCTTATCTGCCTTAGTGGTGAAGAGCAGATTACCCTTAAAATCTAGAAGCATTTTTTTTTCTGTTTTTCATTCTTCTTGGATGCTTTAATTTCTGTTTCTCAAGTTTTTTGGTCTTGTTATATCCACCATTAAATTATTTTTAATATTCGTTCTCAAGAATTTTACTTGCTCCTTGAAGGAAGTTATGAAAACCATTATGTATCTTTGTATAACATATTGTTTCTCCACAGGCCCAGCACTGTTAGTTGATGTTCCAAGGGACAAGAATATAACAGGTACTCTTATTCTAGTTGTATTCCTTTAATCTGAAACTCTAGATGTCAATCAATCACATATTGGTGATACTTCTGTCTTAAGTGCCTCATGCTTCTTTATGTATGAATTTGAGCAATCTTCAACTACTTTTATGACATTGCCTTCCATAACGCATTTGTTCTTACAAGTTCTTTTTTTTGGTGGTTGAAAAAGCGATTTTTCTCTTCTTTGACTAAAATATGTAATTTGGAAAAGGGGTTGAGAAAAGAATTAAAAAGAGGAAAGCAGGTCAAAATAAGTTGAAACAGTTGAACCTTAAAATTTCATAAGTTACAGAGAATTCAAGCAATAAAATATCAGCACAATGAAACAAACATGTATATTTACATTCTTCTTTTATATGAAAATGTATGTTTCTTTGCAATTCTACAAATTATGCTATGCAAAACTAAAGGACCTTTTTCTCTTTACTTTTCTGGATCGTATTTAGATGATGAAGAACTATTTTAAATGGTTGAATTGTTGAATTCCAGTGGATCATAATAGTTATCATGTTAAATAGTGTTCAACAGACTACTATTTACCTCTGAATTGCAGACATTTTCCAATGAAATAGCATCAAATAATGACATTTAAGATATTTCAAATTAAACCAAGTCACAGTGGTGGTTAAACGATAAGAAAACAACCTACTCTGGTTGTTGGAGCAGATCATTTCCTATTAAGAAAATTGATTAGATGATAAATGTAATATTTATGTAGGCTAACCAAAATTGTCCATGGAAGTATCCCAGTAGATGAAAATAGTTTCATAATAGGGATTTTCGTATAAATTTTTTAACTGGCCATTGATGTTTGAAGCAAGTGGCTCTTCATACCAAAGGGCCTTTGGCCTAGGAGTATCGTAGCCTTTGGCCTCCTAGGAGGTCAGGGGTTCAAACCTCACCAAAGATGAGGAAGGTGTGTGAGTTTATTTGTTGCATTTGCTGTATATAAATATTATATACTTAAAAAAAGTGGCTCTTCATTGCTTTCATGCAACTTACGTTTTCTAATTTCTCTGCAAAACTTTGATGAGTTTTATACTTATATCAGCCGAAGTTATGAAGTCCTTGAACATTCCCAGGGGAGTGAAGCGTGTGCTTTTCAGAACATTAAACACTGATAGGTAACTTTCTTTCATATTGTGCTTGTTTCTTGTTAAGCCTACAATTTCTCTCTTTTAATTGGATAACAGCATAATTTTCATCCCTTCTCCCTCACCAGGAAATAAATACAAATGTTTTTAATTAAATAATAGAGTACTTCCATGCAATCTGCTGATATCAGCATATATTGTAAAGAACATGGTTTACTCTTTCAGAAAAGACATTATATCCATGTAGAAGCTATACGTCACTAGGATATGCCAGATTTATCCTAGAACCACAAGCAGATTTATTTCCTTCATATTCCTGTTGCATGAAGTTTATTGGAATTATTTGGTCATTTAGTTATTCTCTCCCCCCTTTTTATTGGTATTTTTTGGGTCATCAATTTCAGGCGGCTAATGTGGCAAAAGCCATTTGACACAAGCTACGTGGGATTTATGAAGGATGGAGCCCAATGGCTGAAGGACAACACGGACATCAAACTTGTTGGTATAACACTCCCCTCCCTGCAAATAATTTTTTCTTTTCCATAAATTTTGCACCAAACCAAACAAACAAACCCGGTAAATCCCACTCGAAAGTAGGATCTGGGAGTTGAGATGTATGAAGACCTAACCTATACCCCCAACGAGGTAGAGTGGTTGTTTCCATGAAGACCCTCGACTTGTACAAATTGTGCACTAGTGCATGCAAATGGGTTCTTAGCACAACTGTGCATGCAAGTATGCAACAGGTTTTACACATCCAATTTGGACTTTCACAATATGCTCATAATATGAGAGAGGTGTGTCATCTATTGCTTGCCCTACTAACGGCATGCAGTTTCTTACTTTCTTTACCTTGTTTATGTTTTTCTTGCACTTTGCCGATACTTGTATTCTATTACTTATTCGTAACTAGCTTTTCAAAATTTATAGTATATGTGTCTCTCTCTTTCGCTCCCTTTTCACAAGCCGGAGTCTTCACCGAAACAGACATTCTACACTTTAAGGTAGAGATAGGGTCTATGTACTTCTTACCCCTCCTAGACCCCACCTCCAGTTGGGATATACTGAGCTCGTTTCGTTTGGTTTGGTTTGGTTTATTGGTTTATTGGTTGCCTAAAAGGGCCCTTATCGAGGCATAAGCATCATCCTGAAAATTATCGAGGCATGATCAATCATTTGTTCTCATTTTTGTAGGTACTGATTACTTATCGGTTGCTGCATTTGATGATCTGATTCCTGCTCATCTTGTCTTCTTAGAGAGCAGGGTAAGATTTATACTCCCCAGTGCATTATTGAGTAACACACTTTAAGGAAAATGTTTTAATCATTTACTACTTAATATTTAATGTATCCTTCAATAATCACAAAATAAGGAGTAAATTTATAACCTCCACCAATACTACAACCAATAAGATAGCATCATCAATTGTTTGTAATGATAACAATAAGCAAATAAATAGTTTGTAACCTGGAAATCTTCTGAAAGATTCTGCAAAATGAGTATGACACCACCATCTGTAGTGCCCCACCATACTCATCCCACAACTATAATAGAGTGGTGTCTGGAGTCGAACCCCAGACTTCCCATACAGGATGCCCACCTCCTTGCTCGCTAGGCTAAAGTGCCGGTACAAAAACTTCTAAAAGATGGAAATACTACAATTTCTCCCCAACATCTGAAAGGAAAATTTTGGCATTTTCATGGAACAATAAATTTCTGTTGTATGGCGTAGAAATGTGAAAGCATGTTTGTTTTGTGCTTAATGGCTTATTCATCCTATCAATAAAGTGTTTTTTTTTTCTTAATTATCAAAGAATAATTGAAATGATGTTACTTTATTATGTGGTGTCAGGAAATCATTCTTGTTGAAGGTCTGAAACTTGAAGATGTGAAAGCAGGAATATATAATGTCCATTGCTTACCATTAAGGTTACTAGGAGCAGAAGGATCTCCAATAAGATGCATTCTCATTAAGTGAATGCCACTAGTAGTATGCAGAGCATGTTCAAGATGGACTTCAGTTTATATCCATCTTGTTTTTTAAGTTGTGACTTGTTACTTTTCATTTGTAAATTAGTGGTTGGTTTTGCAGAATTACTATAAGAAATATTCTGTTTTGATATAAATAAAATATTTGAGATAATTATGGAGATGTAAAGTTGTCAAGAGAATAGACACCCTATTTGGTATAAATTTTTCTCATGATGGGCTTGAATCTTGGGGTCGGGACCGATTAGGCTCAGGTACGGGTGTGGTTACTAAAAGGTCCGACAATTACCGACGGCTATGATCTTCTGAAGTAGGATTAGCTGAAGGGGTTGGTTATCAAGGTTCGTTTACAAGGCCTGGTCTAAAGACCTTTTACCGTTTTTTGTCTTGTTCACCAAACGGTTATATGAAATTGTTCTTTTGGACTATATTTTTTGTGTGCTCGATATAAATAGATGTTTGATATGGTGGTTTCACACAAATTAACACTCTCAAAGTTCAAAATAAGCAATCGTTCGTGTCCTTAAAATCCAATTTTCTTGTGTTTTAGTGATTGACAGATATAACATTTAGTTGAAATAAATAGAGTTATTTTAAAATAAATTAAATTTTTGAAAATAACTTTATTTGAGCAAGAGGTTAGACTACTGACAACCCCAACCGGTCCCATATGGAACCACATATGGGAAGACATTTCAAAACCGACTTAATGACTAAGGCTAGCAGAAGGGTTCAAGCGGTCAAGCCCGTCTTCTGCAGGATTTGAAACGTCTCCTTACCAAGTGAGTTACACGTCAAAAAGCTAAAGTAGCTTAAATTGAAACACAAGTTTTATAACACAACACTAAGGGGTTGTTTGTTTACTTTTTAATGATTCCATCAAGAGACAACATCTGAATCGTTAAGAGGTGAATCTTATTTGACAAAAACAAAATTTGTCTCTTAATGGTTCTAAAACCCTCTGAATGATTTTGTATCATGAGCCTCCCTTAACCATTAAGCGCCCTAATTTCATTGTAAACAATTATATTTTATTTTGCACTATATTATGAGTGCCTCTTAATCATTCTTACCACTTAATCATTCTACACCAAACCATTCAACAACTTCCAAACAACCCCTAATAGATGTTTAAGTTTATTTAAAACTATAAAAATCAAAGGAAAATTGATCTGTTATCCGCCTTTGAGACCGATTACACATATTACAATTCTTTTTCAAAGAAAGAACTGGTTGCAATTCTTCTTGAAAGAAAACGGACCGGTTACGGCTAGGACCGACAAGGACCAAGACCGGTCAGGTGAGGTTAAAATGTCATGTTTTTGGCCACCTCTACTAAGCACTGTTCATTCACACATTAAGGGGCCGTTTACTTAATACTTACCCGGTAAATGTGGATCGGGTAACTTTCCTCACCTGATGCACATGGCAAGAGCAGAAAATCTTACCCAATAAGAGCGACAATAGGGATGGAGAGTCTTACCCGGTAAGTGATGGTGAGGACTCTTACTCAGGTAAGCATTCACCGAGTAAATTGTTGCATACGATACCGTTTTAATATACTACAATCTTATCAAGTAAAATAGATTATAGTACTGACTCTTACCGGTAAGCGCTTACCGGGTAAGTATTTGGGTAAACGACCCCTAAATCATCATTTGTTTGAAACAAAATGTCAATTTATATTCCAAGTCCAACTATCTTTTGCATATTAGCCTTAATTTCCAACCAAACAGGAGTTATCAAATGAAATATGATGACAACATTACATAAACACAAAACGGTGCCCCACTTTTACATAAATTCCAGCAAACATTTTCTCCAATCAAACCATACAACTTCCCAGTTGCAGGAGCACCAAATAATATGCAGTTTAAGTTGAATGGCTACAGACAGAATAAAATACTACTTACTGCCAAGTGCAACACTCCTTTTTGTTTCAAGGAAAGTTATGTGCAATCAATCTGATACAATATACCAAGAAACAAGATTTGATTCTTCTTCAAGTCAATGCGCCAATTTTCTAAGGTGATGAAACATCCGTTGTCTGATCCATTGTCGGTCATTCGGAAGGTATGCCTGGATAGAGTGATCATAACTGCAACAACGCATTTATCAGTTTAATGTTATGCATTCATCAACCAAAAGGATTACACTACTTTAGCTTTCGTCTGCGTTCTCAAAGTTGAAAAAGTAAGTTTGGTGGTTCATCTAGGTTCTAGCTTACACAGTTACAGGGCATATGCACAGAGCGTGAAGCAGAGACGCCAAAAAACAACAGCCCAAAAAGCCCGACCCTAGGCCCAGGCCAGACCAAAAAAAGCCTGATAAGGCCGAGTTCTTTTTGAGGCCTAGTTAAAGCCCGAACCAAAAAGCTTGAAAAAGCCCGATCCCAAAGCCCGGCCTGGCCTGGCCTTTTTTGCTTACTAAGAAAGGGCTTTTGGAAGACCCAAAAAAGCCCAGGGTCTTTTGCATCTCTGACTAAAAATTAGGAATTAGGCTACCACATCTTGTGAAGATAGTTTGGCTGAGCAATAATGTCTAAAAGAAAAATACTTCATCTAGTGAATATTAGAAATATCATCTAAAAGATCATGTTTGATTGTTTACCAAATATCTTAAACATCCTTCAATAATGAAAAAAACATGGAAATGATGTGGACTAAAAAGATGTCTAATTTTGGATTCAAATGTTACCAGAAAAGAAAATTGGTTGCAATTTCAATAAGATGGAGGGATATGAATAAAGATAAATTTTATCACAAACTTACAATAAAGTTATATCTCCAACTCGTCATTCTTTATTTCTCATAAACATTTTCTCAGCCACAAGGCCCACAACCAACTAATACAGATTTCAATTATCCTCACACAACCTTCCACTTCTCCTTTTTTATACATTTGAAGTCATTTATGCTCTTATGTTTCACATGACAATGTTGAGTTGTAACGGATCCAAGAAAAAAAGGAGGGGAGAAAAGATGATTTTAATCTCCAAAACGGGATAAAAGTTGGAACAAACCAAAAAAATGTGTGTTTAATCTAGTACAGAGGGAGTGTATGATGGTCATCAGGCATATCCATTGGAAAGGGTCAAATTCAGGAATGACAAACTCACATAACTTAGCTTCAAATTGAATATTTTTCTATATATGCATTAAAGACTGGAGAACCTCAGCATTAATAAAGGAATACTATACATGATTCAATGACACGAAAGAATTCTTATTGAAATCAGAAGGGAAAAGGTCCTTTCTTAAATCTACTATACTATATAAGAAATATGCTTAATTATATGCCTAAGTTCCTAAACACCCAATAACTTTCTTACTAATCTATCCCACTTGACAAGAAGTTAATCTGTGAATGATGAAGCAAATAATTTACTAACAAGTCGTTTGTGATCTCATAAATAATCTTCTCATGTTCCATTGAGGATATTTCACTCATATTGTTTTGTGAAGATCGCAAGTAGTATATAGATAAATTAGAACAAACGAAGCAGGCACAACTAGGCAATTGAAACTCGTGGATGTCACAGAGGTCTCAAACAAATATAACCAATTGCCTAATTGGTATTTCATCAATTATTTAAGATGAGAAGAGATTTTAACTGATCGGTCTTTCATTGTTTTAGATATAGATTTTCAACAGTGATGGAAAAGCAAGGCACAGAATTCTTGTAACAATCAAGTAGTAAAAGCGAGAAAGGGAACATACACTAAAGCACTCATGTCAGCAAGGCCGTCAATGAAATTATAGAGATCTTCAATGTCATAAGTAATATTTCTGATGGCAGGATTCAATTCCTTGAGTTTCCTTTCATATAGTGCACATATTCCTGCACATACCAAAAATAAGATATGCATGGTATTGCACAAAAGTAGCAGAAGACGGGTTATGCATATAAAAAAAACTGTACATATGACCATCATTACAATTGTATGCACCAAAAAGGCAAAAACTAATTAATTGGTAAGGGTTCCAAAAGGAAAGAGAGAACTCCAAATCGCATCCTAACTAACCATGCAAAAGAATTGCAATACAAAAGACAGCAGAAAAGGTGTCAGAGTGTGTTATCCTACAATTAAAGAGAATAGTACCAAATGTTTGGAGATGTAGAAGATATGTGATATAGTTGCACATACTAGTTAAAATCAAGTGTAATGTGGTGAAGCAACCAGATAATAAAAAAGGTCCAGAAATCTATCAAGAAAAACTTGAATCCAACATTACATTCACACACACACAGGGATGAGCAGAAGGGACTAAAGACGTGCCCAGAGCGACCTAGTCTGGTCAAAGACTAGCATGGCCTAGCAATCATTGACAACTTTCATATCTTTAAGCTAGGAACCAGACGACCGAAGCCTAGACCGGCCAGTCTCTGACTCTACAATCAAAAACTTGTCCTTCCACCAATCAATTTTTTAGGACTTCTTATGTTGCTAATTTTAGTGAATCATCAGATCATTTGGTGTATTGGATTCACAAGAGAATGAAGGGTTCATAGTTAAGCTATAATACGGGTTAGAATGTGCAAAGTGCACATTTGTATAAGCTAACTTGAACACGAGATCGCCGGATGTCGCTGTATGGTGGGGGCCAAGGTGGCGCGACCTCTTGCGAGGTCCTAGGGGCAGTGTGTACCTTCTGTGTCACAGATTAGTGGGTACACTAACTGATGTTGATCAGTGTTTATCAATTGATGCTACCCACTGATGTTGATCAGTGAGTGATGCTATCCGCTGATGCTATTTGTTCCTAACTCCTATGAAACTGCTCCGTAACCTCTTGTAACTGCCCTATAACTGCAGGTAACGTCAACCTTTAAAGGTGTTTTCAGTCTCGGTTTTATATACGAAAGATAAGAGCTTCCAAGAGTTTTTGGTCTCGATTTTCCACCAGAATGTGAGTGTAACTTTGGATTATCCCCAAGTAAATGTCATGTAAACCAAGCCTATACAGGGTCGAACTACTACTTAAGGAAAGTGATTCCAACAGATTCAATTTCTTGATCCAAGTGTAATTCATTGATTTCTCACCAACCCTAACCTAGTTTTCCAAGATTCTATTTTGACTATTTTACCCACCTAACAGCTGTAAACAGATATTTTAGGGGCATATTTTGGACTGTAGTTCGATTTGGTAATAATAATTGATCAATAGATAGATATTTTATTACTTCTCGACTGTACTAATAATGTATATAGATAACAACAATAAGTTATTCTGAATATCACAAAACAAAAGGTCATGTCCACCCTAATAGTCCTAGGTAGGCCTTGAATATTTGCCCCACTACCGGCCTAGCCTGGTTCCACTAAAACCCCAGTATAAACCAGATTTACCAAAAGACAGGTTTTGACTTACGCCAATGCCAATGGATATTCAGAACTAGAATTAGCATGCAGAGCATTATTTAAGCTATGGAATGTAACTGCGCATTAACTTAAATTACCCTTCACAGAAGTTAATTGGGTTTCTGAGTTAGAAAAAGGATACGCAGTTTTCGTAACTCATCAAACTTGATCCAAACACCACAATTCAGCCAACATAGGAATAGAGAGAGATACTATTAATAAATTTTCCAAATATAAACAGGAAAAAATCAGGCAAAACCAACAAATCTTCTACGTATACAGAATATATATTATAACGATGTGATTGACATTCCATAATACAACAATGCCTGAGGTTTCAAAGTAACTTGGACCAATTAGGAGTATAGGAATTCATTGATGAACTAACGCAAACACGAAAGGACTTAGACGAAGAAGGGCTTAGGTGGTGTTTGTTTGAATCTAAATAGGTCAGAATGGGATTTGACCTCTAATTCATTTTGAAGTCCTTCTGTTTGGTAAAAAGAAAAAAATGGACGAAGGAGCAATTCGATGATTCCTCTGAACCATTAAGTTCTCTCAACTTAGCAACATCCAGACCTCCACAACAGCTGGTGACATACACCCTGCAATAGCACCACAACCATGTGCTTCAAATGCCAGTTTACCCAGCTGAAGGCTTGTACATTAATGGCCAGTTTACACAGCTGTATATATGTACATCGAAGGCCATTTTGCTTCAAGGCCCTTGTACATGGTGGGATGATTCTTCTACACATAGCATTTGGTTTTATCTTTAACCATAAAATATTTCAAATATCAATCAAATGATTTAAACAAGTTTATAAATTAATAATTCTTAGTAGAAATGATAAAAAAAACAAATAAAAATAGCCTATGTCATTCAGGTCCATTCACAACACTTATCAAGCGAACGATTCATTCAAACATCTTAAACATTCAACATTCAATTTAATCAAACAGACCATGACAATACTGTGTCTTCTAGTGCAGTTGCAACAATTTAAAAATAAATAACTTTCGACTTATATTACCAAAGAAGTAGGCAAGCCTAGTACTTCTAATAGCATCTACAACAAATTATAAGATAAGAAATGAACAAGGATTATACAAATAAATAAAGAACCCATTTCGATGTTAAATGAAGTTAATTTCTTCAAGTTCAACAAAAAGAAAATGTTGGACGTAAACCAAGATAGCCAAACCAACTCAATTCAACCTCACCACAAGTTTCACGTGACTGCTAAGTGCATTGTGATATAGACACTAAGTTACAAAAAACATAGTACAATATTGCCAATCATCAACTTTTTTTTCACAAAGCCTAGTGGCCAGTGCATTAGCTATACGTACCATCCATTGCTTGACTTATCGACTCATAATCCATAAACGTCCGAGTGGCTCGGTTTTGAGAAGTTTGCATGAGTATGATAGTGTGTCTGTTAGCCTGAAATGACACAGACTACAACTGATCAATACAGAAGTAAGAAACTACCAGAAATGTGAAATCAAATTTAATTTACTACAAATATGTAAGCATGATCATATTTACCGAGCAAAAAGTTTAGGAATTAGATAAACGATTGAACTGTGCATGATTATTTGTGCCAGCATAAACTACTTCAATTTTTTACAAATAACCATTGGGCAAACCGCCCATTAACTTCTGCCTTTTGTCTCTATTTCAAAACCCCAGTTCCATCTTAAATATAAACCGTATCAAAAACTGAAAGCCGAAAGCATCTAAATTTGAGCTATAATCTGCAAGAACATCAAAACAATCCCAAAAATTTCCCAATAAATCCCTAATCCATTCTCAACTATTCATTTCAAAACTCTGAACCACCTAACCAATATGATGGAGCTTTTGTTTTTTAAATTAATTATCAGAGACAGCTCAGGCATTACACCATGAAAATTTCACCAAAGTGTTTGTTAGGGTTTACCGGACTACAATAAATAACCCAAATGAAGTTAAGAGCATCATAAGAACGCTTTCAAAATCAACGTATATCTTCAGATTATAAACCAAAACTAGGAAAAATAAGACATCCCCATTCGTTTTTAACATGATTGAGAGATATAAGCAACAAAGTTCCACAAACAGGTTCAGATATCGAAGATGTGTATATGCTCATACATAAATTAAGACATACGCTCTATATTTCTCACCATTAGAGAGATTTTCCGGGATGTTGACCGAGAATGGAACAGCTTTTTCACTTCAGTTCTTCTTCGTCTTTGTTTGAATGGAAACGAAATTGCTACGCGAAATGGTGTTCTTGTAATATTCGGGCGCTGGGATTTTAACGCTTCAGATAATTACAGAAACCTACCTTAAGGTTTGGATAAGATTCAATAACACCCCCCAGGGCCTCTTTGATTTGCGGAATTTGAAGGACAAATTTCTTTGACCAAAATTCCTCGACGATACTTGGAATTTGACCATCATTAAGTTGCCGTCATAGCCGCATCCACCCACCCCACCTGATCGTCACCATCACGTCATTATTGTTCGTCGTCACAACCGCCACCAACCCTCACTATTGTTCTCTGTCGCAACTGCCACCCCACCCCAACGTCACTGCCACCACCACCATGCCACTATTATCACTGCCACCCACCTGATATAATGGTGTCCTAGGCATAGAGGAACCACACCAATCCATCCCGAACTTGGTGGTTAAACTCCACTATTTGGTTACGATATTGTAGGGGAGGTCCTGCAAAAACAGTTGATCGGTAGATTATTTAGAACTTCGGAAGATGGTCAAGGTAGCTCCACCCCTACCATCCCACTATTGTCGTTGTCACAACTCTCACCCACCCGACCATCTCACTATTGTCGTTGTCACAACTGTCACCCACCTCGACATTATTGTCGTTGTCGCCCCCAGTATATGCAATACAAATTTCAATTCTTTACGAGATTTCATTAAACATGGGTCAAATTCAATCAAATTTCATTCTAATCCCTCCAATGTCATATTTCTTGGATGGATTCGAATTCCACCAAATTTCATTATATGAACCAAACGCCCCATTATGTTTTAAGAACGTGGGATTTGGCAAAACTCAAATATATGCTATATAATAAAGCATTTAGGTTTTATATCTTAAAAAACTCGTGTGTTTTTGTAAGACTATAAGTATTAAAATCATATTTGAAATCAATTTTGAGAAGTTTTGTAAACTCATATTACCTTTTTCCATATGAACGGGTTAAGTTCTGAAGACCCATAAATTTATCTCAATTTTAAAAAAGCAGATATAAATCATCTTAGATATAATGATTGTTTTAGTTAAGCAACTTGTAATAAACAAATTAGTATTCGAGAAAAGCTTGTACCTGTTGGATATAGCGACCGAATTCAGAATGATGATGTAGTCTGGTTCAGGACAGGTTCGGTTTTGTCCGAACTGGTTTTGAGCTAGTTTATCTAATCAAGGCTTTTGACCTGACTCATTTAAAAAAAAGGGAAAGTAAATTGATAGTTTTAAGAAAAAAAGGGATTGGACTTTATTTGATTTAGTATGTTCCAAATCTAACCTGGTTTAAACTTTATCTAGGCAAGAAAAATATCAGTATCTATTTAGTTTGACTTTAAAAAAATTGGTCTAGATAAAAACACGACGGTCTCGACTCATCCAGACTGACGACATCATGTATGTTATTTAACCTGAAAAGCTTGTTTGGGATCCAAACTAAAGCTCGTTAATTCTTAAACAAGCTTGTTTGATTCAAGTATGTTGGCATGTCATTGATGTATATTTGAAGTACAAAATGTTCTTGATGATGATACAAAACGATGTCTTCTCTCAATAGATTTTCTCTCTCAAATATCTCATGTATAAAATGATAGAAGGGTGGTGTATGATTGGTTTGAGCTTGTCTTCAAATATCAAAAGCACCAGAAGGTCTTAGCTTCAAATCCAAGAAGGAATAAAAATCCCTTTTGTGGCCACGTATGTGTCAAATGCGGTGACTCCAAGCTATCTGCAAAGCAGGTGGTCGCTCTGAGATTAGTCGGCTCGCATAACGGGTTGGATATCCAGGTTAATCAAAAAAGGGAACAAAACTTATACATATAACATATAAGTTGAATACAACATTTTTATCCCAACGTATATTATTTATAGAATATCGTACTCTTGAAATTTCAAGATAACTCCAATCCTGAAAGTCATTATAAGTTGCTCCAAAGCTTGTACATATAACATAAAAATATACACCTCTTAAAAATTCAAAAATAATAATAACACCTCTTTTTTAATACAGTGTTGATATAGATAGATAAATAAAACGTATAAAATGAAAATGTATGAATATAAAACAAATCAATTCGTAGATATTCATGATATTTAATAGTATTATTAAGTCAAACATATTCAATATTGTGCTCAATTTGAAGGTATTATATAATAGTGGTATAATTTGTAAAAAAGGAAACGTATTTTTTAAATTCATTTACTTCATATACGATTATTTATGTTAATATGACAAGGATGTAAAATGAAACATAAAAAAAGTAAGAGATACAAAGTAAATCAAATCACTTATTATAATTAGCAGTGCTCAAAAACCCGACCAACCTGATCAACCAAACCCAACCTGAAGCAACCCAATGTCTAATTGAGTTGTAAAATTATCAAACCGTAGGTATTGGGTTACTATTATTTGAACTCAACCCAATCCGATGAACTCGATATCCTTTTATTTTTTGGATTTAATATGATTGTTGAATTTCTGTTAATATACACATTTGACAATTACACTATCATGTATGTTTTTCATATACACATATTTTTAATTTATTCACATCTCTATATAACTCATTCGTAAATATGTTCAGTAACTGTGAACATATATATGTAAATTGAGAAAATTAACTGAATGTGATATACGTAAGAAATATGGATAAGTTGTATTAAATGGTTGATGATGAAAAATAAATTATGAGTAGATAAATAATATATTTAAGGTTAGAAAAATATTTTAATGTACAAAAGTATCAACTCGACTAACCCTTACGGGTTGGGTTGTACTTTAGTTTGGGTTGGGTTGAGTTAAGATTTTTCAAACCGCAAGCATTGGGTTGAGTTGTTCAAATATCTTAAACCCGATGATAAATGTTAATTTATTAACCTTATTACATCATTTTCTTAACTATGTTCCTTTGTTTTATTTACCCATTAGTGTCTTAGTTGAGTCTTTTTATGTCATTTTCATAAATTTGTGGTAATATAACATATCTAATGTTAATTCTCTGTTTATGCAGGTTTTTGATGATTTTTGGGCCAAATCCTGCAACAGTCCTGTAGGAGCAGGAGTGGCAGAATCTTGTAGTACCTGTCCGTGAGCTGCACCTTTGCCTGGGCTGCTCCTTAGTAGATGCGTGGTCAACGACCTTGGGCACGATCAAAGCCCATTTTGAAGAGTCTTTTGTTTTATTAGGTGGTTTTCATTGTACAAACTCCCTTAGCCTATAAATAGAGGCTTAAGGCTTTTGTTTTTCACACTTTTACTTAACTTCTTATTTGTTTATTCTCAAATCTTTGAGTTATAAACATTTGCTCTCTAGAATATTGTTTTCGGTTTCAAGCTTTTGGTTTTCTTGCTTCCAACCAATAACCGATTTTTGTGAAGTGTGATTTCGTTTTCAAGTTTAATTCAAGTGCTCGTATTTAATCTTCATCTTATTTCTGTTTTTATTTCCAAGTTACGTTACATTTTCTGACTTTTGTTACGAGTTACGAATTAGTCGATCTCTGTTGCTTTACATTGGATTTCATTCTTTGTGGCTCACGACTAATTTACGTAGACTAAATAATCTGTTTTTAAGAGTTTGCAAGTAACCTTTTTGGTCTTTGTAACGAAACTTGTGTTGCAAGTTTTGTTATTTGTCTTGCAAGCTTCCTCAAAGTCAAACTCTCTTTTCAAGACTTTCATTAGTCATTTATCCATCTCATCAAGTATTTGTCATACATCATGTCTTAGATTAATATTAATTAATAATATTTAGTTATTAGTAATTTACATTTCAGTCTTTTACATTTCAGTTCTTTACATTTCAGTCTTTTATATTTCAGTCTTTACTTTTCTGCATTTTACTTTACTGCAATTTACTTTTCTGTCATTTAATTTTCAGTAATTTACTTTCAGTCATTTATATTTTTGTCATTTAATTTCCAGCAATTTACTTTCAGTTATTTATATTTCCAGTACTTTAAATTCTAGTATTTCCATTTCTTGTAATTTACTTTCTGTAATTTACTTTCTGCAATTTACTTTCTACAATTTACTTTTCCGTATCAGTTATTTATTTTTCAGTCCTTACATCATTCGAGAGAAGAAACCGAGCGATGATGGGCTAACGCCTTAGCTTGGGGTGTAACGGGAAATTAAGACCAAAGCCGATGTGAAAGTACAAAGGTGTCTTATTAGCGTCATAGTCTACTATTTGTTTCAGGTGCTTAATATTTCATTTGATGATTACATTAMAATTAATTGACAACTAATTTTGTGTATAAAAATGTATTGACTTTCAAAACCTGAGACAATAGGAGAAGGCTATAAATAGCTTTAGTGTCTGACAAACGCTATACTCCTACGGTGTAGGTTGGTAACACTGTGTTGTGCTAGGATTCACGACGTCTAACATAAATGATATCGTATCGATAGCACGTTGACCGGTGTGTGCTATTGGGAGGCCGTCTGACCCGATAGTTGATACTGTCATAGTTATATAAAATTATTTATTGATTTTAGATAATTGTGACAGGAATGCTATGTCACCTTTTTGCTGAATCATTTGTTTAGTGTTTTAATCAACTGTTGCACCATGTACTTCTTTTTAAGACTGATAATTTTCTTAGTTGTTAATCAAATCACCAAATTTTAGATAAATCAAATTCCTCGTTTCGCCATCTGAAACTAGTTTTTATAAACTGGACTTTTAAAGAGCTTTACAAGCTATCTCTATAGGAACAATATCTGGTACTTATACCATTATTACTTGTTACGAGACGACAGTAGTTCAAGGTGTATACTTGCGCTGAGTTCTATTTTTGTGTTGAAATCTAAGGTTGAACAAACCGACGAGCACCCGATCAACCCAACCCATAAGCACCCCTAATTATAATGATATTTAAATATAATTTTGAACTTGAAAAATGATTTGGTATAAGACGTGGGAGGTTGTAAACTTTAAGAACTTGTACATTATTCTTCATTGATTGTACCTTTTAAATTAACCGCAAAATAAAGAGTTTAAAC